TCATCCAAACACTTTTGTAAGCACACGGGAAGTAACTCTGGCAAATACTCTCCGACTACAGTCACATGTGACGCATATCTGACACAAGTTGTGTTACTATAACACATTAGTGTGTAAAAGGTTTCAACAACACACTGCTGCTGTCTAACACATTAGTTGTGTTAAATGTAACACAAAATGTGTAATCCTTATAAACACAGAGATGTGTAAAGAAACGACACAGGTTGTGTGTTAAATTTGACACAACATGTGTTGTCCTTGAGCAAACACACTACATGTGTTAAAATCTACAAAACGGGTTAAAATCTACACAACATGTGTTAAAATCTACACAAAATGTGTTGTCCCTGAGCACACACACTACATGTGCTAAAATCTACACAGCATGTGTTAAAATCTACACAAAATGTGTTGTCCCTAAGCACACACACTTTATGTGTTAAAATCTACACAGCATGTGTCATTTTTGACATCTCTTTTTACAGGTTGTGTTATTTACTAAATCATTTTATAAGAGTGCACCAGTGTAAATAAAACTTATTTACACACAATATTTTGTCAGTTGCTACATTTTAATCTAATTCAAAGTGCAAACTTAGTGAAATCACACTCCCTGTGTTAAGAACAATAACACACTGGTTGAGTTAAAAGTAACACAAAATGTGTTGTCCTTAACTAGACACACAGGTGTGTTAAGATATAACACAGGTTGTGTTGTTTTTAACACATCCATTTTAAGAGTGTAAGAACACATACGACATTTGCAGCAGAGTTTGTAGTTTACTCTTGATTCAAGTTGAATAGGAACAGTGGTAACAGTAAGTGGTCTGAAAATAATACAGAATAACAATAATATTAGAGATACAGCTAAATCAATAACATTCATCAAGGCAATAGAACTAGTAACATTATTGAAGTTATTGCAGTTCCTAGATAATCCGCAAGGTGGCATTCAAGGGACGCACATGGAATTAGTTGTTATGTAGGACACCATTACAGTGTCATTTCGGGCAGTAACGTATATGAAACAGCACATAACACAATATTTACGCAAATATAGGCAAATAACCATATAAATCAGATATCCAGATATCTTACACTATGAAAGTACTCATGCATTACTTAAACATAAAGGATGAATTTTGGCGCTTAGGCGCTAACGCGAGCTGCCGCGATGGTGCGCAAACAAGCTCGTGATAACTCGGTAAAGTACACAAATCTGCTTTAAACGCACACTCTTAAAATGGATGTGTTAAAAACAACACAACCTGTGTTATATCTTAACACATCTGTGTGTTTAGTTAAGGACAACACATTTTGTGTTACTTTTAACTCAACCAGTGTGTTATTGTTCTTAACACGGAGTGTGATTTCACTAAGTTTGCACTTTGAATTAGATTAAAATGTAGCAACTGACAAAATATTGTGTGTAAATAAGTTTTATTACACTGGTGCACTCTATAAAATGATTTTGTAAATAACACAACCTGTAAAAAGAGATGTCAAAATGACACATGCTGTGTAGATTTTAACACATAAAGTGTGTGTGCTCAGGACAACACATTTGTGTAGATTTTAACACATGCTGTGTAGATTTTAACACATGTAGTGTGTGTGCTTAGGGACAACACATTTTGTGTAGGTTTTACACATGCTGTGTAGATTTTAACACGTTTTGTAGATTTTAACACATGTAGTGTGTTTGCTCAAGGACAACACATGTTGTGTCAAATTTAACACACAACCTGTGTCGTTTCTTTACACATCTCTGTGTTTATAAGGATTACACATTTTGTGTTACATTTAACACAACTAATGTGTTAGACAGCAGCAGTGTGTTGTTGAAACCTTTTACACACTAATGTGTTATAGTAACACAACTTGTGTCAGATATGCGTCACATGTGACTGTAGTCGGAGAGTATTTGCCAGAGTTACTTCCCATGTGCTTACAATAGTGTTTGGATGAACACTGACACGTATTGGTAACTTGTGTTTATGTAGTCCAGTGATGTTTAATAGAGTTTGTTTGAACATTTGGATGTTTTAAACATCATTAATCTATATAGACAAGCTCTTATTGAGAATTAACAGAGGTTTGATGTTTCATTTCAGTTTTATTTCAAGTAACCAGAATCGTGATTAATAGCTCCTTTATTTGGGCTCTTGACCCTTTACTGTTGTTTGAGTGTTTCTCTGCTGTAACTGTATTTTAATAAAATACATCTGTTATGGTGACAGAAAATATGATCAGAAGGTTCTTGATGATGTCATAATCAGCAAGTTATGATCAAGTTTTTGAGTATATGGATGGTGTGCTTTATTTTAATGATTTATTGTTAGTTCTGAAGGTTTTGTGAAACTACATCCAGCAATCAAAAAGTGCAGAATGACAAAAAAAAGTTTAAAGCTACAGCAGAAACCAGTCAAACACAGATATCAAGAATCAGCGTATGGATCTCAATAATGGTGACAAACGAAACGTTTCATGCCGCAATGCATGCTGGGACTTATGGATGAGCTTTGTACTAGAGACATGAAGCTTTGCCACCATTGTTGAGAGTCATATGCTCATTCTTGATGTCTGTATTTGACTAGTTTCTGCTGCAGCTTTAAACTGTCTTTAAACATATTTTTTAAAGAATTATAGTATAAGGTAGCATACACCATAATATCATGTAAACACTGAGTATCTGTAATCAAATATAAGTGATCAAATATAAGTTATCTCTTAAACATTAAACTTCTCTTGCTATGTTAAAAAACATCATGTTGAAAAATGATCATTTAATGATCTTTTTCCTCAAGATAATTTCAACTGTTTCAGATGTGCAATATAAATACACAGAAACAGCAAACAGAGAAACGAATGGTAAAGGGTGAAGGGTCAAGAGCCCAAATAAAGCTGCCACTAATCACGATTCTGGTGACATCAAAACAAACATTCAATGAATCGTCAACACAAAACCTGGTAATTCTCAATAAGTGTTTTCTGTAGACGTCTGACAGAAATAAATTGTTTGTTATAATATATTAGTTATTAATAACAAGTGAAATCAGCATTTGAAAAAAACATTGAAACCGAGGCATGATGTGATTGGCTGCCAAAAACACTCATTAATCTGAAGTTTTTTATGAATTAAGATTTTATTTATTTATTGTAATGTATTGTTTCATTTATTTTAGAGCTTGTTATGGGATACCATAGAAAATATACTACCTCTAATTAGGTTCATAAACACAAACTTCCCTCCACCCATTAAAATTCTATCCAGTTACATTTTAACACACATTGTGTGTTAAAAACTACACAACTTGTGTCAAAATACCATCAACACATGATGTGTGTTGTTTTTTAACACATCTCTTTTTATAACATCACAAGATAAAAGGAAATAAACGACTTACATTTTTGTCATTAACTCGCTCACATAAAACCACTTCCGAGGGAAAGATTGAGCTATAGTCTTCTGCATCAGAGCATTCGGTAACACTTTAAGGTTCGTTAGTTAACATTAGTTAATGTATTTACTGACATGCACTAACCATGAGCAATACATTTGTTACTGCATTTGTTCATCTTTGTTCATGTTAGTTCATGAAAATACAGCCGTTCATTGTTTGTTCATGTTAGTTCACGGTGCATTAATGTTAACAAGATTTTAATCAAGTAAATGTTGAAAATAACATTAACAAAGATTAACAAATGCTGTATATGTGCTATTCATTATTAGTTCATATTAACTAATGTAGTTAACTAATGTTAACTAACGAACCTTATTGTAAAGTGTTACCGAGCATTCATATTTCGTTCGTCTCTTACTTACTAGGCACTGACTGACGTCATTCAATAAACGACTCTCTCATTGGCTAAAACCTTCTTAACACCTTAAATCATGTCCTAAAAAATACACTTCATATGCATTGGTTCACTTTCGTAGTCACTCCGAGTTATGTCGGATGACGGAGAATGGGGGACCCGCATTCTCTGTCATACGGCGTAACGTCTCCGTTCCCTACTCAGGGGACGAGGGTTACATCCGTAACCGAGAGGTTCCCTTTCGTAGTCAATCCGAGTTACGTCGGATAACGGGTTCCCGTAACCGAGACGTTTCCATGCAACTTACCAAAAATGGACATTATTGTAGCAAATCAGTTCAAGGGAAATATGAATAACTAATCATAACTGGTTATATAATTAATTATCAATATTTGGATCAGAATTAATATTATAATCAATTAAGCTGTTCGTCCAGTGAATGAGTCGATGACTTCAGAACACTTTCATGGCCATAGAAAAATAACTTTCTTACTGGATACAGTCCGGCTTACCCAGACAGTGTCGGCCCAGATCCGGCCCACATCTGGTACAGGTGTGAATTAACGGGTATGTCCCTCTTTGGCTAATGTACTTTCAAGATGGAGGGGCAACATTAGAACCCCTTACCGGTATGTATTTTCAATGGCATATTATACACTCACGAGAATACTTTATTACTTAAACGAAGTAAATATCCATTAATGAGCACATATATTTTTGAAAGAACTGTTTTTAGCTAAGAATAAACTAAAAGTGTTACACAGTCAGTGTAGCTTTAACATAACACATAAAAGGAAACAGTTTTGCTGAATATAATCATGATTGCAAATGTTAAATTTATTTTATAGTTCAATTAACAAGTAGCCTATTTAATATTTAGTCACTTACATTATAGACACATTATTGGCTGTTTTAGTTCATTTCACCGATGAAAATAGTTCCAAAGGAAAACAACAATCAGCACTGTCTAGAAGATTATGATTCAGCATTTTGAATGAATCGTTTGAATAAATGACTCAATGACTCACTCATTAAGATGGTGTAAAAAATGATGTGTAAAAAAATCATTGCATTTTTTTCTTGTATTTAAACAATTATTTAAACATTAATCTAACATTAATTATCCGACACTATGTTGCTGTCTGGGATACCAGATCACAGTTTAAAGCTGTCCTAGGTAAAGACACCGCTGCATCATTAGATCATTTAGTGACGTTGTGCATGTGTGTGTGTGTGTGTCAGGTACATGGAGGACAGCTGCTGTGTGTGAAGAGGACGAGCTCATGCCCGTTCCTAAAGACATCTCTCTTCTGGGAGCCGCCACTGTCTTCGTGAACCCCTGCACCGCCTACAGGATGCTGAGCGACTTCCAAACACTCGCCCCCGGTACCAAAACTCAAACTTGCTTTAGCATTTCTGTTTTACAGAGAGAAGACCATGACCATGATTTGTTGCGATAGGTTGTACAGTGATCCAGAACGCGTCGAACAGTGCAGTGGGACAGGCTGTGATTCAGATCGCCGCAGCACTGGGCCTCAAAACCATCAACATCATCCGAGACCGGTACTGTGTGATAATCTGCGTATATACAGTCCTCCTTGAAATGGATTTCTTACGCTATCTCTTGAACTCAGACCAAACTGTGCTGAGCTGATGGATGAGCTGCAGTCACTGGGAGCCGATTATGTCGTGACTGAAGAGGAAGTGATGTCATCGGGGCTTCGTCGGGTCTTCGAGGTTGGGGATTCTGCTCTTCTGCAACAGTTGGGTTTCAGTGATTTCGACAGAATTGCTTAAACTCAGACGTTGCTTTTTTGTAGGAGGTTCCCAAACCTAAACTGGGCCTGAACTGTGTAGGAGGCTTGAGCGGAGGACTTGTGTTGTTTAATCTCGAGTAAGTACTCGTATGTTTGAGGGTAGTTTAGCAGAAGTTCATTGTGATCAATGAATCCTCTTTTATTTCAGTAACGGAGGCACAATGGTCACATACGGAGGGATGGCCAAAAGACCCCTCCAGATCCTNAATAGAATTTTAATGGGTGGAGGAAGTTTGTGTTTATGAACCTAATTAGAGGTAGTATACTTTCTATGGTATCCCATAACAAGCTCTAAAATAAATTGAACAATACATTACAATAAATAAATAAAATCTTAATTCATAAAAAACTTCAGATTAATGAGTGTTTTGGCAGCCAATCACATCATGCCTCGGTTTCAATGTTTTTTTTCAAATGCTGATTTCACTTGTTATTAATAACTAATTTATTATAACAAACAATTTATTTCTGTCAGACGTCTACAGAAACACTTATTGAGAATTACCAGGTTTTGTGTTGACGATTCATTGAATGTTTGTTTTGATGTCACCAGAATCGTGATTAGTGGCAGCTTTATTTGGGCTCTTGACCCTTCACTCTTTACCATTCGTTTCTCTGTTTGCTGTTTCTGTGTATTTATTTTGCACATCTGAAACAGTTGAAATTATCTTGAGGAAAAAGATCATTAAATGATCATTTTTCAACATGATGTTTTTTAACATAGCAAGAGAAGTTTAATGTTTAAGAGATAACTTATATTTGATCACTTATATTTGATTACAGATACTCAGTGTTTAAATGATATTATGGTGTATGTTACCTTATGTTATAATTCTTTAAAAAATATGTTTAGAGGAAGTTTAAAGCTGCAGCAGAAACTAGTCAAATACAGACATCAAGAATCAGCATATGACTCTCAACAATGGTGGCAAAGCTTCATGTCTCTAGTATGAAGCTCATCCATAAGTCCCAGCATGCATTGCGGCATGAAACTTTTCGTTTGTCACCATTATTGAGATCCATACGCTGATTCTTGATATCTGTGTTTGACTGGTTTCTGCCGTAGCTTTAAACTTTTTTTGTCATTCTGCACTTTTTGATTGCTGGATGTAGTTTCACAAAACCTTCAGAACTAACAATAAATCATTAAAATAAAGCACTCCATCCATATACTCAAAAACTTGATCATAACTTGCTGATTATGACATCATCAAGAACCTTCTGATCATACTTTCTCTCACCATAACAGCTATTTTGATTAAAATACAGTTGCATCAGGCAGAGAAACACTAAAACAAGAGTAAAGGGTCAAGACCCCAAATAAAGGAGCCATTAATCACGATTCTGGTGACTTGAAATAAAACTGAAATGAAACATCAAACCTCTGTTAATTCTCAATAAGAGCTTGTCTATGTAGATTAATGATGTTTAAAACATCCAAATGTTCAAACAAACTCTATTAAACATCACTGGACTACATAAACACAAGTTACCAATACGTGTCAGTGTTCATCCAAACACTTTTGTAAGCACACGGGAAGTAACTCTGGCAAATACTCTCCGACTACAGTCACATGTGACGCATATCTGACACAAGTTGTGTTACTATAACACATTAGTGTGTAAAAGGTTTCAACAACACACTGCTGCTGTCTAACACATTAGTTGTGTTAAACGCAACACAAAATGTGTAATCCTTATAAACACAGAGATGTGTAAAGAAACGACACAGGTTGTGTGTTAAATTTGACACAACATGTGTTGTCCTTGAGCAAACACACTACATGTGTTAAAATCTACAAAACGTGTTAAAATCTACACAACATGTGTTAAAATCTACACAAAATGTGTTGTCCCTAAGCACACACACTACATGTGTTAAAATCTACACAGCATGTGTTAAAATCTACACAAAATGTGTTGTCCCTGAGCACACACACTTTATGTGTTAAAATCTACACAGCATGTGTCATTTTTAACATCTCTTTTTACAGGTTGTGTTATTTACAAAATCATTTTATAAGAGTGCACCAGTGTAAATAAAACTTATAAACACAATATTTTGTCAGTTGCTACATTTTAATCTAATTCAAAGTGCAAACTTAGTGAAATCACACTCCCTGTGTTAAGAACAATAACACACTGGTTGAGTTAAAAGTAACACAAAATGTGTTGTCCTTAACTAGACACACAGGTGTGTTAAGATATAACACAGGTTGTGTTGTTTTTAACACATCCATTTTAAGAGTGTGCACTCTTAAAATGGATGTGTTAAAAACAACACAACCTGTGTTATATCTTAACACACCTGTGTGTCTAGTTAAGGACAACACATTTTGTGTTACTTTTAACTCAACCAGTGTGTTATTGTTCTTAACACAGGGAGTGTGATTTCACTAAGTTTGCACTTTGAATTAGATTAAAATGTAGCAACTGACAAAATATTGTGTGTAAATAAGTTTTATTTACACTGGTGCACTCTTATAAAATGATTTTGTAAATAACACAACCTGTAAAAAGAGATGTCAAAAATGACACATGCTGTGTAGATTTTAACACATAAAGTGTGTGTGCTTAGGGACAACACATTTTGTGTAGATTTTAAACACATTAGTGTGTGTGCTCAGGGACAACACATTTTGTGTAGATTTTAACACATGTTGTGTAGATTTTAACACGTTTTGTAGATTTTAACACATGTAGTGTGTTTGCTCAAGGACAACACATGTTGTGTCAAATTTAACACACAACCTGTGTCGTTTCTTTACACATCTCTGTGTTTATAAGGATTACACATTTTGTGTTACGTTTAACACAACTAATGTGTTAGACAGCAGTGTGTTGTTGAAACCTTTTACACACTAATGTGTTATAGTAACACAACTTGTGTCAGATATGCGTCACATGTGACTGTAGTCGGAGAGTATTTGCCAGAGTTACTTCCCGTGTGCTTACAAAGTGTTTGGATGAACACTGACACGTATTGGTAACTTGTGTTTATGTAGTCCAGTGATGTTTAATAGAGTTTGTTTGAACATTTGGATGTTTTAAACATCATTAATCTACATAGACAAGCTCTTATTGAGAATTAACAGAGGTTTGATGTTTCATTTCAGTTTTATTTCAAGTCACCAGAATCGTGATTAATGGCTCCTTTATTTGGGCTCTTGACCCTTTACTCTTGTTTTAGTGTTTCTCTGCCTGCTGTAACTGTATTTTAATAAAATACATCTGTTATGGTGACAGAAAATATGATCAGAAGGTTCTTGATGATGTCATAATCAGCAAGTTATGATCAAGTTTTTGAGTATATGGATGGTGTGCTTTATTTTAATGATTTATTGTTAGTTCTGAAAGTTTTGTGAAACTACATCCAGCAATCAAAAAGTGCAGAATGACAAAAAAAGTTTAAAGCTACAGCAGAAACCAGTCAAACACAGATATCAAGAATCAGCGTATGGATCTCAATAATGGTGACAAACGAAAAGTTTCATGCCGCAATGCATGCTGGGACTTATGGATGAGCTTTATACTAGAGACATGAAGCTTTGCCACCATTGTTGAGAGTCATATGCTGATTCTTGATGTCTGTGTTTGACTAGTTTCTGCTGCAGCTTTAAACTTTCTCTAAACATATTTTTTTAAAGAATTATAGCGTAAGGTAGCATGCACCATAATATCATGTAAACACTGAGTATCTGTAATCAAATATAAGTGATCAAATATAAGTTATCTCTTAAACATTAAACTTCTCTTGCTATGTTAAAAAAACATCATGTTGAAAAATGATCATTTAATGATCTTTTTCCTCAAGATAATTTCAACTGTTTCAGATGTGCAATATAAATACACAGAAACAGCAAACAGAGAAACGAATGGTAAAGAGTGAAGGGTCAAGAGCCCAAATAAAGCTGCCACTAATCACGATTCTGGTGACATCAAAACAAACATTCAATGAATCGTCAACACAAAACCTGGTAATTCTCAATAAGTGTTTCTGTAGACGTCTGACAGAAATAAATTGTTTGTTATAATAAATTAGTTATTAATAACAAGTGAAATCAGCATTTGAAAAAAACATTGAAACCGAGGCATGATGTGATTGGCTGCCAAAAACACTCATTAATCTGAAGTTTTTTATGAATTAAGATTTTATTTATTTATTGTAATGTATTGTTTCATTTATTTTAGAGCTTGTTATGGGATACCATAGAAAATATACTACCTCTAATTAGGTTCTTAAACACAAACTTCCCTCCACCCATTAAAATTCTATCCAGTTACATTTTAACACACATTGTGTGTTAAAACTACACAACTTGTGTCAAAATACCATCAACACATGATGTGTGTTGTTTTTTAACACATCTCTTTTTAGAGTGTGTGTTAAGAACAATAACACACTGGTTGAGTTAAAAGTAACACAAAATGTGTTGTCCTTAACTAGACACACAGGTGTGTTAAGATATAACACAGGTTGTGTTGTTTTTAACACATCCATTTTAAGAGTGTGTGTGTGCTTAGGGACAACACATTTTGTGTAGATTTTAACACATGCTGTGTAGATTTTAACACATGTAGTGTGTGTGCTCAGGGACAACACATTTTGTGTAGATTTTAACACATGTTGTGTAGATTTTAACCCGTTTTGTAGATTTTAACACATGTAGTGTGTTTGCTCAAGGACAACACATGTTGTGTCAAATTTAACACACAACCTGCACAGTAAATTCCCTGGTGTTAAATTAACACCGCTCGGTGTTTATATGGGAACCACCAGCAGGGTGTTAAAAGTAACACTGAGGCAGTGTTAGAGTTAATGAGATAATTAAGTGATTAATTGAGTGATGATTGAGCATTATTGAAGACACCTAAAGCAGAATTACAAGGAGAAAACCTAACTTTCAGGTCACCGTTATGGAGGTGAGTGTTTGCTTTAGTTGGGCTCTTGACCCTTTTATTATTAACTTTACATTTGAATTGGCTGTTGCATCTGAGTTATACCTGCCAGATGAACAAAGAGACAATTTATATGATGGTGTTGGTCATGTTATGACATTCATTTGAAATATATGTTCGTGGATAATTTTGTAGGTCACAACATAACTGAGATTGTACATAAATATCCAGAATGTCAGATATAATATAATGGATTTCTACAAGTTGTTAAAAAAAAACTTCTTATAGGCACACATAAACCTCAAAATTCAGTCAATGCTTCTCAACAATGGTGACGAGCAGAATA